ATTTTTTCTTTTGGTTGCATTTTGCATGTTTATATTCTGTGTAGTTTTTTTCCCCTTTAACGGCTCAAAGACACTGAATTGAATCTGGTCCTCTAATAAGGAGGTGGAGCACAGTAAATAGCTGCTCATAGAGGCGTCTGCAAAGCCTAATAAATGCAAGATAAAACAAGCTAAAGCAGAAGGAAGGGGAGTACAGATCTGGTGGAATACAGATGTATACCAGGTGAGGCGTGAGAGGAATTTCTGCACTGAGCTCAGAGTGCCAGGAGTTGGACAGGAGGCCCAGCACAGATGATCAGGGCAGAGAGGAGCCTGAGGAGCGGCGCGGTGCCAGAGCGTCGCAGAATCAGCTGTGTGCTGACCTGAGGAGTAAGATCGCTACAGTTTGAAGCAACACAGCAAGCGAGGCTCAATCAGTGGCTCCTGGTACCAAATGTGGCCTCTTACCTTGTGACTCTTAAAGACAGCTGTTTTACCATGACAAAAATCTAGAAGAAACAGTTTTGTTGAGTGTACTGTTGAGGGGAATTGGAGTAAATTATGTTCAACTTGATATGTGTTCTTTGGGTTGTTGAGTTGTTTGCTCCCCGTTGTACCTAAGACAAGGTTTGGATCCATACTGGTCACACATTTACATGATGATGTTTACAAATTTTCAGTCTCCCTCCTTTAGTCTCTGGACACCAGACTGTGTATTTTGAGGAGTTTCCTTGTTTTGAAATCTGACAGACCCCAGCAGTGGCGTTAAACAACCTATTGTGAGTCAGATTAGAGTAGATTTTTGAATTGTGCCACTGAGGGTTGCAGCTCGTTGGAGTAGATTTTTCTCTTTTTCAACCTTTCATGTTTTTTTGGAGGATTTATTTTGACAACTGTTCCTCATTTGGATATTGTGTAGTTGGACTTATATTGGCGAATATTCTTTTTGAACCTTCCACGTTACTTGAATATAGCCTCTTTCACTGAGGTTACTTGTACTTTAGATTCCCAGTAGTTCAGTATTTTCTTGTCTTTGTGTTTTGTTTCAGTAGCAAAATTTGAATATATTATATGCTGGTATTATTAGGATTGAATAATAACTCGATTAATAGCATATAAAAACTGAAAAGTCCATGCTCCTTTAGAGTTTTAATCTAAATAATTCAGTTGTGTTTTACATATGAATCTGGCTAGAAGATTTAAATGGCTGGTTCTTAGATGTTTTGATTTAGAAGCTATAAAAATGTAACCAACAGAAAAGATGTGTAATAATTTTAAAGTGAAACATAAAACAAGTGAAGAAATTATTTTAATTATGTTTTTGCATTCACTTAGAATCATTCACCACCTGTCAACAAACACTAAAGTCTAACCTGAAGAAAAGGTTCCAGCTTGTGGAGCTTGCCCCTGGATATGATCCGTATTATCTCTCTAAAAATTACTTCACTTATAAACTTGATGATTTACCTGCATCAAGGCGATCCACATAACTAACTACCTGGAGCTGCAGACCTCATGTTATACGACGAGCCAGAAGAAAGCTTTCATCTGGCTCAGGTTAGTTTCAGGTCGGGTCAAGCATTTAGGATCAAAAGAAACATTAAATTGCTGTCGCCTTGTTTCTGCCGGGTGAGTAGTATTTTAAGTAATTAGTCCATGATAGCGATGCTATCGCTAACAACGAACTAACCCATGTTATTTCTATGTTCTTGGATCTCCTGGTAAATAATTTATTTAGCTTCTGTAAACCCAAATTCATGCTCGAGTTGTACGTTAATGTTGAGTCGCTGTAGGACGCTCGATTCAGGTCCAATGTAGGTCAACGATTCGCTCCGATCTACAGAAACTCCATGTGGGGGTATAGTAACAGCTCACTGTGACTGTGTGGCTGGGTAGGTTATATTAAATTTATTTTTCTTTTTTTCTTTAGCATGAAAGTCCCACTGAATAAAGATTATATTTTCTGTCTGTGACTCGGCACTGAGCTAGCTGCTAACAACATTAGCACTCTGCTGGGGACAACCATGCCAGGGCATAAAAATAATATCTTACCTTATGTATGAATGCTTTTCTTTCTAAGTAACTGTCCAACAAAATATCAGAAAGTACAATTTAAACGATGCGATCGTTACCTGTTAGAAAGTGGTGCTGCAAACTCTGGCATTGTTAGTTTCTGCACCTCTTGTTTTTAGCTGTAGATTATTGATCCACTTTTCTCCTCTTTTTTGTTAAATTTTTTAAGATTAACACCCTTATGACCAACTACCTTTGAAAAACACGAAAATAATGTTTACCTTTCTTTATTAGAACATTTGGAACAACCGTACAGAACACAGACTTTAGGGATTTTGATGCTGGATCAACAGAAATAAATGGGCTGCATTTACCTCTGGGCCTCCATGTGCATTGGGTGAAGTCAGTGCTACGTCATCTGAAACCCACTAATACACTATATTGAAGAAATTATTTGCTCCCTTGCCCTCACTCTTATGAGATTACATGACATCCCATTCCTAATCCATAGGATTCAATATGACGTTTGTCCACCCTTTGCAGCTAGAACAGCTTCAACTCTTCTCATTAAAACTTCAGAACTCATTTCCACCAGCTTTGTGTTTCAGTCCGCCACAGAAACATGACAAAATCGCTCTTAAATTACATTATTTTCTATTTTTGTTTCATAGAATCACTCATCACATGCCAACAAACACTAAAGTCTAACATGAAGAAGAAATTCCAGCATGTGTTTGAAGGAATCACTAAATCGGGAAATCAAACCTTTCTGAATCAGATCTACACAGAGCTCTACATCACAGAGGGAGAATCTGGAGAGGTCAATAATGAACATGAGGTCAGACAGATTGAATCAGTGTCCTGGAAACCAGACAGACCAGAAACAGCAATTAGACATGAAGACATATTTAAACCCTCACCTGGAAGAGATGAACCAATCAGAACAGTGATGACAAAGGGAGTGGCTGGCATTGGGAAAACAGTCCTGACTCAGAAGTTCACTCTGGACTGGGCTGAAGACCAAACCAACCAGGACATCCAGTTCACTTTTCCATTCACATTCAGAGAACTGAATCTGTTAAAAGACCAGAAGTTCAGCTTAGTGGAGCTTCTTCAACACTTTTTCAGTGAAACCAAAGGAATCTCCAGGTTTGAAGAGTTAAAGGTTGTGTTCATCTTTGATGGCTTGGATGAGAGTCGACTTCCACTGGACTTCCACAACAAGGAGATCCTGACTGATGCTACAGAGTCCAGCTCACTGGATGTTCTGCTGACAAACCTCATCAGGGGGAAACTGCTTCCCTCTGCTCTCCTCTGGATAACCACACGACCTGCAGCAGCCAATCAGATCCCTGCTGACTGTGTTGGCATGGTGACAGAGGTCAGAGGGTTCAATGACCCCCAGAAGGAGGAGTACTTCAGGAAGAGATTCAGAGATGAGCAGCAGGCCAGCAGGATCATCAACAACATGAAGAAATCACGAAGCCTCCACATCATGTGCCACATCCCAGTCTTCTGCTGGATCACTGCTACAGTTCTGGAGGATGTGTTGGAGACCAGAGAGGGAGGAGAGCTGCCCAGAACCCTGACTGACATGTACATCCACTTCCTGGTGGTTCAGACCAAAGTGAAGAAGGTCAAGTACGATGGAGGATCTGAAACAGATCCACACTGGAGTCCAGAGAGCAGGAAGATGATTGAGTCTCTGGGAAAACTGGCTTTTGATCAGCTGCAGAAAGGAAACCTGATCTTCTATGAATCAGACCTGACAGAGTGTGGCATCGATATCAGAGCAGCCTCAGTGTACTCAGGAGTGTTCACACAGATCTTTAGAGAGGNGCTACAGTTTGAAGCAACACAGCAAGCGGGGCTCAATCAGTGGCTCCTGGTACCAAATGGGGCCTCTGACCTGGTGACTCTTAAAGACAGCTGTTGGAAGATTAACAGTTTTATTGAGTGGACCGCTGAGGGGAATTGGAGTAAATTATCAACTTATGTGTTCTTTGGGTTTTTGAGTTGTTTGCTCCCCCTTGTGTCTAAGACAGGGTTCAGGTCCATACTGGTCACACATTTACAAATTTTTACAAATTTTGAGTCTCCCTCCTGAAGTCTCTGGGTGCCGGACTGTGTATTTTCTCCGTCAGTGCAGCATCTGCACTGAAAGAGGGCTCAGGGATGAATACCTGTGGAGGAGGCATGTTGATGTGGGGTGGCGCTCCTGCTACCCGCTTTGGTCCATGATGATGGACTAGGTCCCCCTATATGTTCAGCAAAAGCACAATTCCTAATCCAAATCCTGGGTCAGATGGATTACAAAGAGGAAGTGACCAGTATGTTTTGGAGTAGGCATGGGTCGAGATCCAGATAGACAACATGTCATGAAGTGGTTGTTGTGGTGAGGATGAGGACGCAGGCAGACCCAGGATGTAGATGAAAATGATGAATTTAATGATATAATCCAAGATACAGAACAACAGGGAACAGCAACACGAGGATCCAATGAAGAACACAGACAACAGGTGGGACTAAATACACACGGGGTAATCAAGGAAACGAGACACACCTGGGAACAATCAAGGGCTAACAGAACAACACAGAGACTCAGGGAAACAGGACTAAACATAGAAAATCTCAAAACAATAATACAGAAAAACACGGATCATGACACAACAAGCAAGAATCTGACAAGGACAAGGTGAGGGGGCAAATCCAGCAAACAAAAACGAGGTCACAACAATGAGGGCAAGATGAAAAGTGCTGGAAAACTACTTGCATAATATGTTTGATAATCTGACAGCTTGAGTGTAACTGAGTGAGGCTTAAGAAAGGAAACAATCAGATAGATATCAAGTCATGACTAAGTTGTAACACCGTCGGCTCTGTGGATCCATTTTCTTTAGTTGCGTGAACAAACTCAGTAGGCTGTTAGCAATAAGTAGCGCACTGCTAGTGGATATTTAGTGTAACATGGAGCAGAAAGCTGAGGTTGTTGTTTCTCCCTACATCCAGTGGTTGGCACAGGTTGCTACAATCGATAGTAGCCACACAGGGACACCAGCTAGAAGGAAACAAACGCACCCAGTACAACACTTTCATTCTATTGGCTGAGAGGTTGCCAAGCGACAGTACTTTATTGTTCCAAAGACAGCAGAAACTGATGATGAACATCAGCAAAGATGTTGCTGCCTCTGTAATATAGAAACATTTTTACCTGCATATAGCCTCTTTCTCTCAGGTTGTTTGTGCTTTAGAATCCCAGTAGTTCAGTGTTTTCTTGTCTGTATGTCTTGTTTGAATTTGAAAATATTATATGTTGATATTATTGTTATTAAATAATATCTCAGTTAATAGCAGAAAAAAATTGAAAAGTCCATGCTCCTTTAATGATTTTATCTAAAGAATTCAGTTGCATTTTATATATAAATCTGGCTAGAAGATTTAAATGGTTGGTTCTTATATGTTTTGTTTTAGAAGCTATAAAAATTTAACCAACAGAAAAGATGTGTAATAATTTTAAATGAAATATAAACAACTGAAGAAATTATTTTAATTAGTTATTTTTTTATTCACTCAGAATCACTCATCACATGCCAACAAACACTAAAGTCTAACCTGAAGAAGAGGTTCCAGTCTGTGTTTGAAGGAATCGCTAAATCAGGAAATCAAACCGTTCTAAATCAGATCTACACAGATCTCTACATCACAGAGGGAGGATCTGGAGAGGTCAATGTTGAACATGAGGTCAGACAGATTGAATCAGTGACCTGGGAACCAGACAGACCAGAAACAGCAATTAGACATGAAGACATATTTAAACCCTCACCTGGAAGAGATGAACCAATCAGAACAGTGATGACAAAGGGAGTGGCTGGCATTGGGAAA